GAGTGGCAGATCAAGAGAGATAACACTTTGGATTGCAGGTGGAAGTCAACTGGGAGTCTGTACAGTTTTTGATATAATTATCTCCCTGAAAAGGAGTACTATGAGGTAGCTGGGCAGCCATAAGCTAGAATTGCTGATGTAATGTGTAGATGTAAGTAGAGCACAACACAGTGATTCAGACTGGAGACAACAGATTGATGAGAAGTCTCATTCAAATGGCCTGCCAAAAACCATGTGGGAGAAGAGAGAAAAAGCATTGTTGGAGCTTCTGCTGCTCCCTGGGGAGCTGTGGATCTAATAGGACCCTATGAACCATGAACATCAGTTAAAAAAAAAAAAAAAAGTGGAAAATTTTCAATACAGCACTTGTCATTTCCTTTGTTTTAGCCAGCCTGAATATTTTCCTTCTGTTTTAGCTGGCCTAAGCTTCAGCCAGTTAGCTGTCATCCAAGGCCTGACTTGGCTAGATACTGAAAAAACAAGCTGATTGCACAAATTTCATCCAATGAAACAGAGAGAGAGAGTGTGAGATCATTAGCATATGGATAGTAGTACAACCTAAACCTTCCTCCTGTTAGGATGGATGACACACTAAAATCATCAGGATAGATGAGAAATCCGATATTATTTTCTTGGTCCTCATGGGGGGGAAAGAATAGAGCTGTTCAACCCTGACTAGAATGTCTGTAGGCGTGTAAAAACCACGCCCGGCAGCATCCAATCAGTCGGTATTAAAAGCAGTTCTGAGGTGCTTTCTTCTTGGGTTTGTTTTTTGTTTTTTTTAACTTTTCTTGCCCCCTCTCCCAAAAATTCACTTGTTTCTGGTCTTTGAATGCTAAATCTTTGTTGGGTAAGGAAGCTTTCTATCAGTTGTTCTGCTTCTTCTCTTGGCTACACGTTCTGCTATAGCATAGTAAGTTTTTTTATATAGAAATTCACAGTTGAACAATGGAATCTACCTGTCAAGTTTACTTGGAGGAGAAGGGAGTTTTCTATCCATTGGCAGTGATCTGTCAGACTGGGAGTAGAATTGACAGCCAATGAAGAGAGACCTGCAAAGGAA